GGGGGGGGCCCCCCCCTTTTGTTTTTTCTGAGAAGGGCTGGGGGGGGGGGGGGAGAGGGAGAAGGGAGCCGAACTATCCCCGTAGTGTCTGCCAAGAATTCAGAGTTGCCAAGAATGTTTAGAGGGACAAAGAGAATTAGCCACAGACCTGGAATTTCTTTCTCACCATCAGGCATATGTATCTGTAGATTCACACACACAGAGGCTTCACTTTGCCCATGATTCTTGTCGTAAAATTAGAAGGCCCAGAGAGACTTGCTTTTGCTAGTTCACAAAATACACCAAAAGGGGGTAAAACAGGGCTGGGCCAGTTGTAACTGCAGCCTATTGTGGCAAAACCCAGCAACTGTCTTAGCATGTTGTATGACAGGCCGACACACTGAGCCATCATCTTGTTTGGGGACTGTATGTTACGCAAACATGTGTTTTGCTAACCTGCACTTAGGGTTCAAGGATTTGTGTGAGCCAGCCATTCTGTTTTTGTAAATGTCACTGTGAGCAGGTAATTTGGGGGGCACTCCAGAATGAGATTTTGAACCACTTCTGAAACAGAAAGGTGAAGAGGAGCAGATGTCCAAGAGCAAAGCAATGTGCCGGGCAAGCATTATCACCCTACTCTGCAGCGGCAAATAAAATCAGTCCTGCTTCTAATCTTGAAAAATAGCTCTATTATCCAAATACGGTGGGGGTGGTTGGCATATACTTTGTCTGGGAAGCCCCATTACATTTACCTGAGCTTACTTCCTGGTAAACGAGCCCCAGATTATCTGGCTGTTACTCTGAGCTGAGCCTCAGAGCTGAGCCTCACTGAATTTTGCAGGGTTTTGTTTCCCAGGCTGTCGGCCTTTTTGCTGGGATTCTGCTGAAGCAAATACTTGCCCTGAAATAAATTTGTTCATGACCAAAATGACAAAGTAGTGTATGCAGTAACTTGTAATTTCGTATACCAAATGAGATTGCCTTTGCTAGAAGGAAGAGACCTTTCTCCATTTCTTATTACAAGGATCACAATAACCTAAATGATAGGATATCCTGAAAGCTCAGCCCTCGCTGATAATGACCTGGGGTGGGGGGTAAGAGGAATTTTGGGGTTATCACCCAGAAGCTAATGTTGCTAATGATAATTGATAAAACTGCAAGCAGGAAAAGGGGATTTCTATGCCTGCCTTTAGTCCCATGTTCTCTTGGGGGAAAAAAATGTTATTCATTTTACAATATTTATCATTTGAGCCAGTCCTGATTCTCTGGGCAGGATACAATAAGGACAAAGCAAAAAATGCAAATTAAATATAAACAATTAAAAGAATATAATCCAAAGACATCTGTAAGGCTTTAAACTAATCTAATCTAAAGGCCAAACGTACTGAAATGAAATTATTTTTACTTGTTTACAAAACACCAGCAAGTTCAGGGTCATCTGTACCACTGAGGGAGAGTATTTCATAATGCAGGGGCCACCACTGAGAAGCTCTGTCACCTGGTCAATAAGGCATGTGCCTTGAAGGAAGGCAGTCCTGCAACAGGTCCTCTCTTGAGGACCACACTGGACAGGCAGGTTCAATTCTAGCAAGGTGTTGCCCAAATATCCTGGTGTTGCTCCACAAAGTCTTTAAGACAGACAGACAGGCAGACATGCATAACACAAAACGTGTCTGTATATATATGTGATGCCACTTTGCTCTACAGAGCAGCATTAAGTGCTCCGAAGACACAACAGAAGCAGCTTTGGGATCTCAACCTTCCTGAATGGTGTGAAGACATACAGGTAGTCCTTGTTTAGCGACCACAATTGAGACCGGCGATTTGGTCATTAAGCAAAGCAGTCGCTAAGTGAAAGTGTAACTGGGCTTATAATCTTACTTAAGTTTTCCTTTCCTTTACAGACCTGCAAAGATCGTAAATGTGATGGTTGGTCACAAAGTTACTTTTTCATCACCGTTATAACTGTGAACAGTTGCTAAATGAGGCAGTCACTAAACGAGGACTACCTGAACTTCACTTCTGTAGCTGATTTCCCCTTTGAACCTAACTAGAATCAATGGGGGGGAGAGAGAGAGAGAAAGATAAAGAGAAAATATAAATATTCTTGGACAGAGAATCAATGATTGAGGAACTGCCAGTCAAGACTCAGCATATAATAAAACTATATTTTGTTAGCTATATCATATACACAGACACACGTGTGTGTGTGCGTGCCTATGTATGTGCATGTGTCTTTGTGTGTAAGTATTTAATTGGCAATGCTTAATCCCCCAAACCAAAGTACTGTATATACTTTGCCCCAAACAACAGATACGCATAAATTAAATGCAAGGAGAAAGAAAGGCAAGATAAATATCTTGCAATCCATATGACATTAGGCAGATAAAGGAAAATCTAGTCATTTCAACAGTATATAATACATTTCTGTATTTTTGACACTTTTAATGAACTGTCTCTTATTATACCATTATGCTGCCAAATCCTATTGCTTTATTGTCCCTGATCCCAAAATCTGATTCTCATGAAGGGCAGTGGAGAAATGTGTCACCAGAAAGGAAGATTCAGAGAGAAACAGAGAGGAAGGCTAAGAAAACAGAGTGACTATGTTAAAAGAAAGGGCATGGGGAAGGAGAGGAGAGGAGAAACAAAGAAAGGGAGTGTGTATGTTTTTTAAAAATGAGAAGGATGGAGAGAGAGAAAAGGAAAGTGTAGCTGCAGCATGATAGTGTACATAATAAAACAAAATCACCCTCCTTGAAAAAAGAAAGGGATGCGGTGGAGGGAAGGGTGGGAGGGAAGGCGGCTGGAAGAAGGCAGATGCTCCAAACAGGCCCATCCGTCTAAAACTGTAGAGCCAGCCAAGTTTTGAGACTCGGGCAGGGGGAGTCAGCGTAGCGGGAGAGGGGGATGCACGGCACTTCATCCATCATGCCCTCCAGACTCTGTCTTCCCCACTGCACGGGGTTCCCTCCCCCTTTCCAGGCCCTTTCCATGTGATAAGAGCCAAGGGGTGTGGGGGGGAGACACTTATCAAGCCAGATCTCCATTGCCGCCACCCCCTAGTTAGGTCCCTGGAATATTCTGCCTCTGGATTCCACCAAATCACATCCATGTGTGGAAGCTGGAGCCAGACGCCGCAAAGGACAGGGGGGTTTCCGGGAAGGAGTGCGCACTGAGGGGGGAAAGCTCTTGAATGTGTTCCAGTTGTGCCTGAAGCCAACAACAAGAGTTGGGGGGGGCTACTTTTAAGGTTGGGACTGAAAGACGGAGCAAAAATCCAGAAGAGACACACACACACACCCTTCCCAAGTCAACGCCTTTTCTAAGGGTATCCAAATTTCCCTACCTTCTGGGAACTTTCTCCACCCTATTTTCTCTGCCAACAAACTCCTGCAGAAGGCAGAAAATAAGGATGGGTGTGGTAGGCCTGTATGTTTGTGTCTGTGTATATGTACAGGGGGATTCCACAATCCACCTAAGTTATATGAAATTCGGCATCTCTTCTGCCATCATCCCAACTCCTCAAGTTTTTGCCACATGCTCTATTTCAAACTGCATTAAGGACTAGTAAGTTAAAACTTGCTCTATTTTTGTTTTCGTTTTTTAAAGAATGCAGATACTCTCAGGATGCTGATTCTTTCTTTCTTTCTTATTAGATTTTTAATTTGGTCAACTCATGGCAGTGTACATATTTAATGTTCCTACCTCCTGTCTTCCACACAACTACCCTGTGAGGTGAGCTGGGCTGAGGGAACGATTGGCCCAAAGTCATCCAGCTAGATTTCATAAGGGAGAACTAGAATTCGGGTCCTGGTTGCAAGCCTAGCACCTTAACACTATACCAAACTGGCTCTTGAGCCCAGCTCTAATTTATGTATTTCTGCAGGTATCTGTACTGAATATATCCCAAATAGTTTCAGGACACCTTACACATATGTATTTTTTGGTCCAAGAAATGTGAGAATAAAGTAGAAAAAATAAAGCGAGGTAGTCCTCACTTACTGACTGCCTTGTTCAGCAACTGTTCAAAGTTACAACGGAGCTGACAGTCACATGACTGCCATTTGTGAACTTCACTGCCAGCTTCCGACAAGCAAAGTCAATGGGGAAGTCAGCAGTAAGTTGCAAGTCGCGGTCATGTGATGGTGCACTTCACAACTTGTGGTAATTCACTTAATGACTACAGTGGAACTGACATCATAAGTCTGGCACAGTCACATGACATTTCACTTACAACCGTGTTGCTTAGCAACGGAGTTGCCAGTCCCAACTGCAGTCAGTAAGTGAAGACTACCAGTGCATTCCGAGAAGCAGGACAGGGTGGATGTCTGTTGGCCCTGATCTGTTCATGGGTGCCTCTTCAATTGTAAATCCTTGTTCTCAAATGCCAGTAGTATCACCAAAAAGGAAAGGAAACTTGTTCAGTGAGTGCAACACATCCTTTATCTGAGACAAATTCTGGGTTCAATATCTGACAGCATATCCTCTTAAAAAGATATCAACCAGCACGTAATGGAAAAAAACCCTCTGGTCCAAGATCCTGGAAAACCTCCATCATTCAGAGTAGCCAATAACAGAATTGGTGAGCTGAGTTGGTAGGAAACAGCTTCCTATATTCACAGACCTGCCTTCCCCAATCTGTGCTTTCCAGACAGGTTGGCTAGGGATTCTGGGAGGTGAAGTCGAGACACCTGGAGAGCATCACATTTGGAAAGGCTGACAGTGAATAATCCAGGGAATATCCATCCAGACAATGCATTCCACCCACCATCCCATTGAGAATGATGTGAACGCTACTCACCACCACCAGGAGTGAAGGAAGCCAGGTGGTTCTCCCAGAGTAATGTTCTTTTCCCACCGGATCTGGGGAGAGGCAACAAAGTACCAATTAAATGGATAAGACCAGCTTTCCCCAATTTAGCACCTCCAAATGTGGTAGAACTACAACACCCAGAATTCTTAGCCAGCCCAGCCAAATGAGAGAATTCTGGAAGTTACAGTCCTAACATAATTAGAAAGCATTAGATTGCAAAAGCATGTTTAAGATGAAGCCAACTTGGGAAGCCCCAACAAGGTTTAGAGTACCAACAGAAAAAAAATTAAGTAAGCCACTTTTGAGTAGAGCCCAACTCCTAGTAGCTTCATACACACATTCATGTAGATTTTTTGGCAGCAATAGGAAAGTGATTTGCCATTGATTGACACCTTCTGGCTTTTTTTTTTTTTTTTAATTCCACATGTAGCCTTCAGCCTAGGATTTCTCAGCAGTCTCCCATCCAACTAATAACCAGGTCAGACACTGTGACCTACCTGGCAGTGGGAAAGGAGGCAGGCAGAAAAGGAATAGAATTTGTTACTCTATGAGAGAGAGATGGCCACTAACCTTGAAGACTGAAGATTGACCTGGACTGAATAAATTCATGGAGGACAGGCCTATCGAGGGCTATTGGTCTTAATTATTCAATGTTCCCTCCCGGCTGGGGGCAATATATCTCCAAGCTCCTACTGCAAGAAAACAACAGCAGGAGTGTGTATGTCTCCATCTCCTGCTTAGGAGCACCTGGTTGGCCTCTATGAGAAACACACTGCATGACTACAGTGGACCTTGGCTTGATCCAACAGAGCTATTCTTACGATCTTCCACATGGCAAACTCTAGCATCTGGTCCACAACACTGTGGGTGTGGAAGCACCGGATCAGAATTCTCTCCTTGGAAAATTCTTCCCTTTGGATCACTAACTGCGTTATTAAGCTGTAACTGCATTAGATTCCCAAGGGATATTTTTCTCCCAGCTTATTTGTGAATTTGCCCTTTGCCCAAGGGGATCGCCCTTTAGATTGCAAATTCAGCGTTATTAAGATTTTGTAGCAGTAATAGCGCGAACTGTGCTTCTGAGAGACTTGAATCAAAAAGGTAAAATGGAGCAAACAGAAGAACAATTCATTTTACATGGCCCTGTCATCTGGTACCTTTCAATTATATATTCCTGTTTTAACATTTTATTCAGATTTGTCTTTCTCCCATCCCCAGAGGGATGCTTTAAAGACAACAAAGGAATTCCTTGTATAAAATATGTAACTAGGAGAAAATAAGAAAATGGAAAAGTATGTTTAAATTGGCCCAGCTAATTGGCCATGCGTGGCATGACACCTTGACAAGTAAAAAAGGTTTGACTTGCTTAGTAATGGATGGGAGACCACCAGGAAATATAACACTGAGAGGTAAATTGGAATGTCAAAGCAACATTCCCAAAGAAGGCAACGTCAAATCACTTCCCTAATACTACCAAGAAAACTACTCAAGGGAAACTTGATGTTTTATTTTAATCACTACACATCACACTATGATGGCCTCTGGCTTGTGTTGAAAAATATTAAAAAAGGGATTACAAACTTTGTATGAAAGGAAGTACCTCCAAACTTTGTATTGTTTTGTCATTTATCAGAACCCTCTCTGCAGAACTTCCAGTTTTAAAGAAAATATATCCAATCTACAATGATCAAATCTAAAGCAAGGTGTGTCAATGGATATTCCTCCCTCTGCTTACACACCCTCCCCTGGCTTTGCTTCCTCTTCTTACCTCTGAGAGGAAGGTCTGTGCAGATTTCTGGGCCCCAACATGAAGGAGATATTCGTACACGTACAGTGCCAACCTGAGGGAAGAAGCAGAATTTCAAGTACTTTACTTATTTAGGAACTCTTCCCCACTAACACACCCAAACAATTGTCTGTGTCCTCCCTGAGCACTCCTGGAGACTTTGGTAGCAAAGAATTAACAGCATCTTCCCCATCATGGTTATTTTTGGATTATTTTGCTCCATCAATTCTGCAGACAAACTCCAACCAACCAGGGCTTTTAGGAAGCTTGCAAGTGAAAAAAAATCTACATTGCCCAGCACTGAAGTCAAAGGTAGAATTGCCTGGGGAAGTAGAGGTGCCATTTTCAGCAGTGAAGGCTAGTAGCCACCGTTACTACTTCTTTCAATATACCATCTTGGCTCAATTAAAGCAATCTTCTGAGTTCACACATCATACTGAAGTCTGTGGCTCTTAGCATTATGCATACGCAGCCCTTGATGACTTCCTATCTGACCCACTTCCTGTACCATATTTCCATGTGGATTTTGACATCTGCTTTTCCATTTAAGTGACTGAATAATCTGCACCGGGGCAATGTTAGTCTGCTACTAACACCTCTTCTACCGTTTTCTGATATTATTTTTTTAAGCACAAGGATAAATTTGTCAGTATAAGGAATAGGAATAAGGAGGATTATATAGAATTAGAGATTTAATTATAGATGGAAATCCTGCAAATTCTAAATATATTTTGCAAAAGAAACTGTCACAAGTACCAACCTGGTTTCAAATGAATCAAGCCCAATCAATCCTTTGTAAAGTATCTTCAATCAACACCAAGAACAGCTTGAAGAATGGTATATATTGACTTCATTCAAAGTATCTCATTAATGTTATATGAAATAGTTATATTAAACACAACAGATTCTCTTGAAAGTTTAAAAATATTCTGGTAGAATGCTGAGATTTGAACTTCCTGACTCACTGGAACACTTTGTGACATAAATTTATTTTAAATCTATTTCAGCAATTCGTTAGGAATTGACCTAAAGATAATCCATAGGCAGTATTACACTTTGCATAGTATTTCAACATTAATTGTAATATTTCCAGATTGTACTGGTTGGATTGTAAACAAATTGGCACATATTACTATCTTTGGTAGCAATGTCTAATTAGTTAGTCCTTGCAGCTGAAAATTTTTGAAGAAATTGGGAAAATCACCAATCTTTCATAATGAATCCTACTGTTCATTTTTTTTTTTTTCTAGCACATATAAATTAATGCAGTATAAGAAATTGATTCACTTCCTGTGTTAGCTGCCAGGTTTGATATTGCAAAACATCAGAAAAGTAAAATACATCTTTCCTAGGATGAGTATTATATAAAGGTATGGAAAATTGTTTTAGGTAAAAAATAGAGAGCTTTGAAATACTCTAAGGACAAATTCATCTAAATCTGGTCGTCATTTATTGTCCATAGTATACAAGTTTTTCCATAGTAGATTACTTCATCTGAAAAATTGTCATTTTGGCCAGAGAAACTGAATACATTTAAAGTTTTTGTATTTCTCTATAAGATTACATATGTGTTTATATATGCTACAACTTTTCTTTTTTCTTTGTTTTAGTTACTGGTTTAATGGTTCTTTTTAACCCAGTCTTTCTTTTGCTGGCCTTACCCTGTCACCAAGATGATCTAGGAGAAATTCCATAATGAGAGAAGCTTGCGACACAGAAACTTCAGGAAAAAGACAAAGCAGCAGCGAAATTTCAGAGATAGCCTAACGGCGGTCAGACTTCAGGAGGAGAGAGTGGACATTTTTCACCCACTCTCTTAATGCTAAATCTAGTGAAATTTTTCCCACGATGCATAGTTAAAGTACGAAACTGGCATTGGCGTCTGGCGCCAGAGGTGTCCGCAGTGAAGTCAAAGAAGTCAAGATGGTGGCTGTGACTGCAGTCAAGAAGAGCCCCAAGGAAAAAACTGTTTAAGCCTCTCTATTTCGTTTGCAGTCTGTTGTGACCGTAGGAGGTATGTGGAGCTAAACTCCCTCCCTCTGCCCCCCACTGGCTCTGATTTCAATTAAGCCACTCCCTTTATTTTTACACTTTACCCACAAGAAAACCCAACTAAAGCCGCAGCCTAACAGACTGAGATGCTGTCCAAGGTGACCACTCCGAATATCTCTGGGAGAGCCCTTGGATACTTCAGCCACCTGGCACCGGATCGGCAGGTGACTTCCCAGGAGCATTTATGGGGGGCGGGGACAAAAATGACAGTGGCTGCAGCTGTGTGGCCAAAGCCCCTCCCCTTTTATTGACACATATAAACAGGGTGGGGCTTCTATCATGCAGTCGCCATCTTGGTTCCCCCCCCTACAGTTGCCCCTCTGACCTATCCTGGCTCAAGCCAGCCTAGTGCCTTTTGCACAGGCACTATAACGATGACCAACAATTTTTTGCATGTAGCTTTGAGTCAGTCACTCCTGGCAACTCCCTGGACGAGTCCATGCACTTTTCTTGGCCACATTTTTCAGAGGCGGTTTGCCCTGGCCTCCTTCCTCGGGCTGAGAGAAAGGGACTGGCCCTAAGTCACCCAGCTGGCTTCGTGCCTAAGGCAGGACTGGAACTCACCGTCTCCTGCTCCTAGCCTGGCGCCTTTAAGTATAGCACGGCACCAAACTGGCGCTCAACCAACACATTAGTTAGCCTTAAAAGGAAACTGGATAAAATGTACATAGGATAAGGCCATTAAGACAAGATTTTCAGCACCAGAGAGAGGATTTCAAGATTCACACTAAACCAGATCTGTTAGACGCAGCCAAATAACACGCTAAGGGTAGTTGGTCTTAGCCCGATTCATTTATTTACCTATTTTTGGTGGCACGACCTGTTGCCCCACCAAGCCCATTTGGTTTATGGCCCAGTTCTTTGTGTGAGCTCAAGAAATGGATGAAGCGCTCACCGATTGCCTCTACCTGTCCATTGGGACTGGCAGGAGAAGCATGTTGAGCGTCCCATTGGACAAGGAGGCCATCTTTCTGTACCCAAGAAACCCAACTTTCCTGTGGCAGTGCCCGCTCTTTGGAACCCCCTCCCCCCCAAAGATTAGAGCAGCTCTGACCTGGCCAGCTTTTTGCAAAGCCTCAAAAGCCAGAACATGTATCTGGGCGTGGGTTCGGATTGCTTGTTGCAGCCCGTGAAGTTGCTGAGTTGTACTGAGGCGTGTGGTTTGTATTTTGATTTTAAAGGCTGCTAACCACCCAGAGTCGCTATGGTGAAACGGGTGGCCATATAAATCAAATCAAATTAATAAACAGTCTGGACACAGCCGAGGCCTCTCCCTTGCAGCTGCTGGAGCTCCAGGAAGAGAAAGATGTGCTCTGGCCCTCTTGGTGCGTGTTGATTTAGAGCAGTATTTTTCAAACTTGGCAACTTTAAAATGCTGGCTGGGGAATTCTGGGAGTTGAAGTCCACGCATCTTAAAGTTGCCAAGTTTGAAAAACATTGATATAGAAAGTATTCCTTTGGGAATAATCTGTCAGGGGAGGGTGGTTCTTCAACAAAGAGGGTGGAGCCAGAGCCAGCAGTGGGAGGAGCCAACATTTTTGACCTTCCCGTTTTCTCCCTTCTTTTTTTCTGACACCCTCTTTCTCTTTTGCGACGACATAGAATAAAGCAGATCATTCTGAACTGACCGATTACTAAACGCTTTTAACATTATGGCAGGAGCCGTAATAATGTATATATTGCAAAATATATACACCTATCTATTGCAAATACCTACTGCGTGATTACCGACAACCCAGCCTAGTCTTTAGGGATTCTAATCAATACCTGCACTGTACTTCATATCAAATATTCACACCACATCATGCAGTTCATATTCTGCTTCCCCTAGTGAAGCCCACATACGTGGCATGAAGGGAACAGCCCATCCCTTGCATTCAGAGATAGAGTGCCTCTGAACATGGAGGTTCCATACATCAATCCTAGCCAACAGCTTCTAAAGTTTTCTTCTTCCTCCATAAATGTATGTAAGCTCGCTTTAAATCCCCTCCAGCCAGAGGTCCCCAATCTTTTGGGGCCAGTGGAAAAATTTGAAATTCTGAGCACTCGTTACAGGTACTCCCACAAGATAACTGCCAGGATGGCATCGCCAAACATGAAATATTCATTTACCTGAAGACAAACTGCCTTGCTCTGTCCTTTTTATGAGCAGGTAGGCATATTTCTGGGGGGGAGAAAACCTGACTGCAGCCACTCAGAGTTTTTATTTTCTAATTAATGTGTTTGGGATCTATGTGAGGCCTAAAAACATGGATGCAATTATGGGTCAGTACTTTGTACTATGCTAGCTTCCTATTAAAAAAACTAAACTAAAAGCAGGTAAAGCAGGTATCTATCAAGAAAGCTTGATGCGGGGACATCTGGCCTGTAAATTCTATACTGGGGACTAAGATTAGGCTATAGCTGTCAATACCTGTTGAAGCCAGTGAATTCTGTAAATTAATTTTCCATTGCATAAAGGACATGCTTTAAACTGCCTTGAACTGTCTGGCAGTTGCGTATCAGTGGAGGACAGTGGAGCCCTCTGGATTCAACCACAACAATGCTCAGGAGCATGCAGAAGCAGGAACAGGTATTTGCTTGCAATTCCTTAAAGCAGCCACGCCTATCCCAGGATTGCACAGCAGCTGCAGAGCCAAAGATGCAGCTGTTTCAAAGAGCTGCAAACAGGCTGTCTTTGCACTCCTGTGCTCCACAGCCCTGGCTGCATCTCTCTACCACTGTCCAAATTCTACTGCTGTGGGAAGAACAGGCACTGCTTCCTCTGTTCCCCAAACTGTTTAGCTTTTTCCTCAAGGCCCTGTCCCAGACAGGTGACCCACACCTTCCTGTAAATCAGTACTGTAGCCCCTCCACAGCAGACCTGGCCCCAAGGCCACAGAAGAGAAGCTCAACTGCCTTCCTTTTACAATGGCATCACTTCTGAGTTGGAATGGGCCACTTTCCAAAAATCTGTGGCTGCAAATCTCAACCTATGACTTGTTAGATTTATATCCCAGCTTT